ACCCACCCACCCCCTAACTTGCAGCCCTAGTGAACATGACCTTCACCACTTTGGCCACCTTAGAAATCATAGGAATGAGCACTTTGGAATAAGGTTTCTTTTCCAGAGAAAAGCTATCTATGTCTACATGATGAACCTTTGGAAAAGCCCCTACCCCACAACCACAGGAACCGAGGAGTCACTGGCTCCTCTGTGAATAACTGCACTGAGTATTCCAATCAGTAAGGAAACCACAGGAATATCCTTGGATCTATTTCCTTGGGCAAAAGCCATCACTTGTGGATGGTGGCCTCCACATTATGGATCCTGACGGAGCAGCAGTTCTCCTCCCTGCTCTGAAAAGCACAGGGAGCCCGTTTGATTCACGGGGACTAAAAGCACCACGGTGTCCAAGCAGGGGATGGAGCTGAACAGCGATGGAACTCCAGGAGAGAAGCACAGGGGACTGGAGGAGACATTACTGTCCCCACAGTCACGGCAGGAGCAGAAACCCCCCAAGGTCCTGCCCCTCTGCAGAGGTATTTCTGCCCAGAAACGCCCATTTGCTGAGACACTTGTGCTCTTTTTGGAAGAAATCCACGCTGATCTATTCTGGCTGTATGCTTACAATGCAGCCCCGCTGATTTCCGATCAATATGTAGGAGAGGCTTGGAAAAAATACTCAGGAAGCTAAAAAGATCGGCCAGCTTACCTTTCCATAACACTGAGAGGGTGCTTAAATCGGGTATTTCCCTGTCCAGTCCTAGCACTGCTCCTACATAGCAGTTTCTAAGCTTCCTGGCAGGAAAAAAAAAATACATTTGGTATTTACTCCAAGTCTTGCAACTGCTAGTGAACTACACAGTTACCTTTAGGCAGTATTAACTACACTTTCAACCTTAGTCTAAAAAAAAAAACAAACAAAAAATTATTGGCTGAGGTTTATACCCTGTTTTAACCTGGCTGAGGTGCTACAATTCCCATTAATAACCACAAACAGCTTGATGATGGCAGAGTTTCCTCAAATACCACCAAGCCATGTGACTTTCGACACTGCTTTCTCCTGTGTAAAAATACAGAAAGGTTGACAAAGCCCAGGTCTTCTCACTTTCTCACAGAGAAAGCACATGGCTCTTCTTCCCCTAATTCCAGGGCAGCAGTAGTTTGGGATTCATCTTACTGCGCCCTAAAAAGGATTACAGTATTTTCTGATGTTCAGCTTTTCTGAAGAGCTGTGGTCTGGACCTCTCCCAATGGTGTGTCTCAAACCTACCACATGTCAGTTTATCCTGATGCTTCAACTCTCCCACTCTAAACATCATGAAAGCAGCATAAAATGGAGTTATCTCCCTGTCAGCAAAGTAAAATCTGAGAAACGCTATGGTTTAAACAACAACAACAACAACAAAATATCCTGAAAACAAGAAAACACAAACCAACACAAACTGAAGGGCTGATTCCCCCCTTAATCCAATCACCAGGAAACAAAGGCATTGTAATATGACATTCCTCCTCAAAAGAAGCTCTACAGATAACTAACATGTGCAAATGTGTTTTTAGCTTTCCTTTTCCCAAGAGATAACTGTAGCCCAGCAGGGACCAAACATTCCATATAAATAAGGCGAGCTTTTTTTTGTTTTGTTTTGATTTTTGCATAGTATTTTATCAGTGATAGTCCCACCCCAGGGAACCTTCCTTCCTCCACCCGCTTTGCCACCGAGCTGAGACCCTCTTGCTTCAGATTCTGGAGTCCAGCAGAAACTTGTATACATCTCAAAGGCTCCTTCACCCCAAAAAGGATGGAATGAAGGCATTCCTTATAATATTGTATAACTGCTTAATCCTAAAAGCTGTCTCTAAGCCCGCTATTATTTTTAAATGTTTACAGTTCAATTTGGAGGCATTCTCTTTTTGTGCCAGACATCGGTAATTGTACCATAATTGCCTTGGGTTTGCTTCTCATTTTGCCAGCATTCTTTTTGCCAATCAGTGCAGCAGTTCAATAAAACCAGAAGCTGATTGAAATACCCAGAGCCTTTGCAGCACCATTCTCTGCTGCTACCAGATTACTATTATTTTTTTTTAAATAATATTTTTTTTTTTATAAAAACACCTGCTATTAATATTCCACTGGAGCTCAAAGTGGCTCAGCTTGGGGCAAAGGCACAATTAAAACACCATGTTTTCTTACAGGACTCTGCATTTATGATTTGTATAACAATAGAAATTTACAGCACCAATCCTTGGGTGGGGTGGGGATGCGTGTAGGAATGAGTCTTTAGAAACCCTCTGCAAGGGCTTACAAGTCTTTTGTTTGTTTTTTTTTCCCCCCCATCAGTGTATTCTTTTTTAATCTTTTCTTGTATCTTCCCTTTCACTGGAATGCTCCCACTACGTATCAGCTGACCATGGGCTCCACATCCGTCTCTCTGTCCAACTCATCCTGAATTTCATCTGTGTTTCCTGAGTCGCTGCTGGCTACAGAGCTGGGAGATGGAGAATTTCTGTAGGAAAAATTCAGAGAAAGGTTTAGGCAAACAATTAAATATCAGTGGCAGAAGAAATAAAAGAAACCTTTAAAAAGAAGTGGTCACTTTCACTCCCCAAAACAATTAAAATATCCTTTATTAACATTAAACTTTGGGTTTACAGTAAACATCAGAGTAAACTTCAGCATCCTGTGTGCTGCCACCCACCCCAGCCATCTCCTCCACAACCATAAAGGCTGCCCTGGGTTTATGGATGGGGAAATAGAAATTAAGGCCAATGAAAATCCGACAGAGACTTTCATCATCCTTAATACATGCAGTCTTGAAAACTTAAAAAAAAGTTTCTCTTCTTATTCTTTTAAGCCAGGGTATGTACTGAGGGTGAGCAAAAGACAGTAAAAATCCCTTGCAGTATATAAATGGGTTTTTAACACAGGAGAAGATTGAAACCCAAGCTCTTCATACAAGCCCAGAGTCAAGTTTCAATCTGGGGGTTGGTTTGTTGTGAGAGTTCTAGGTCCATGACACTAAGCGTCCATCTAGGTTAGATAAGAAGTAATTTCATTTATACCAGCCAGTCCTATTGGTGACACCCCTGTTTTTGCCAATATGTGTCCAATTCTTAGAAGTATTACTGTGTGTAGAACTTACACCCTGTTATAGGGTTCCTTTCAAGACTGAGACATGACCCTGAACAACTCAGGATTATCTAAAGGACAAAGCTTTAGGACAAAATGATACTATTGCCTTTAAAACAACTTGGCAGGAAACAAGAGCAAATTAAATTCTTGAAGCACAGCAGGCAGAATGGTAATATCTAATTACCTGTCAGCTGAGCCTTTGATAAGCCTACGACAGGTTTCCATTTGTACATCCAGGCCCCTTTTCATACTGCACATTTCCATATATTCATGAAGGTGGCGATTCATGTCACTCTTGGCCGTGGCCAATTCCAGCTGTAAGAAATAAGAGAAAATAATCAGCCTCAGGTGAGTTGGTAGCAGCTTCTCCCAGCCTCCCTCCACTGTACATACTGGTGGGGATGGTAAAGCTGCCCGGAGCCAACCCAAAACACCCACACAATATATGCTTAACCTCAGTGTGGTATTTATTCAGCAGCTTATACCAATGTATTCATCAGCTTATGAAGTGCATTTTAATCAGAGCTCAACAGTGTTTTTAAACAGCTCTCAATTTCTTTTCTGCTGCTTGGCACCTTGTTTGTCAACAGGCACTAATTAATGAAAGCATATTCCAGGCAGGGCAAAGGCTTGGAGAAGCTACAGCTGTTGTGTCTGGCAACCTCCGAGGCCACGTCTTGTAAAGCCTTTCCCAGTGTGACGGTGGATACACCAGATAAAGAAGGGAAAAAAGAACAATACTGCATTTTTATTCTTTGTTCTGAAGGTTATCTCTCTACCAGCTACAGATTTATGCTTACTCAGTAGCAGTGCTGTTTAGAGAACAGTACTTGGGAAAAATCACAAGGATGTGTCAAAGGAAAAAGCCTTTTTTAGAGGCTCTAAAGCCATTTTTAGAGATATAGACATTCCAGCTTTCCTCTCTGTGTACACCAGACCAGAACACTGCGTGTGTTTGTGTCCATTAGAAACAGCTCATATTGGTGTGAACAACCTCCTCACCTCTATCTGCCCTATTGTCTCTTGGTATTCCTTGTCTCTCGTTTTAAAGAAAGACTCTGTTTCGTGGATCAAGTTTCCCAGATTTTCTTCCTGCAGGGGAAAAGAGGACACAAAGAATTAGCAAGAAACTAAAAAGGAATTCAGTAGCAGATTGAAGATCAGGGGAAAAGAGGACACAAAGAATTAGCAAAAAACTAAAAAGGAATTCAGTAGCAGACTGAAGATTTTCTTATTTAGCCTCACTCAGAAATGCAGGTTGTTATGATTTTATTTTTTTTACATTTTTATGCAGACAACTAATATTCTGTCTCTTTAAACTGGTGTAGCAGGAAACACATTTTTGTACCATGACCATGGCTTTGTACACATGAGATAAAGTCCCTGATCAACGAACCTACAGAGCAAGGGGCCAGCAATTAAACACAGGTACCTGATGCATGCCAAAGAACAAACCCATGCATTTTCCTGAACCTTTCACAGTCTGATCACACTCAGACAGACTGTAATTACTTTCCAGCCATAAAACAATTCTTCCTTGCATTGACCACACCACTACGTAGAGCTTTGCACTGGAATTCTCATTTTCCAATTACATGTTACTACTCTCCAGCCCTTTCAGTCCACGTTACCTCACACGTGTGCTCTGCATTTGTTGTTTGCTATTGAAATTCTTCTCTTAACTGCTCGATCAAGCAGGCCCACTCCAGCACTCCCCCTGAAACTGTCACACGTAAGAACATGTGCTGTCCCAAAGGGAACATCCTGCCAGACAACAGCTCCCGGATCATCCTTGCTTTGGATTGACAGTACAGTCTGGGCTACAAAACACATCGTACTATTTCATGCTGTCAAAGAGCCTAACACAATCCCATTGTTCTCTCTTTCATGTTATTACCTACCTCCCTTTTCCAGAAAAAAAAAATAATATCATTAATTTAATGCCACTGCATTGATGAACTTTAATTATGTTTCCATCCTTTGGCCACGTCTGTGGCAGCTTTCTCAGGATCATACCTGGTATCAGTGCTGGGCTCACAGCCTCCAGTTACAAGAATCATTCCACTTATCCTTTTATATGCAGAAGAGCTTTAAGGAGGAAGGTCAGAAAAGAAGGTGGCGAGGGCACCGCGTAAGAACTTGAAAGGAATAAAGCCAGTGGAAGGAAGATTCAGGCATGTAAAGCACTATGTTAAAGACCAGGCACAGAAGGAGCAGTCTTTATTCTGAATCTCCATCTACAAGACAAATCTACCCTTTCCTTGTATAATTTTCATTTAGAAGGATTTAAGCTTCTTAAAACCTTTAGAGTTTTCGCACGGAAGGTCTGAGTTCGGCACTATTCCTCTGATAGCTGCGCTTACACACGCACACATGGGTATATGCAAATAAATCTGTCACTAATTCCAGCGCACGGCTCCACATTATCACTCTGCCACTCTCCCTGCTCAAAAGACGACACGGAGCTCAGCACGCTGCTTTCTGCAGCCCCAGCACTTCTGAGTAATCTCCGCAGTTTCCGCGCACGCCAGATGATACACAAATGGGAAGATGTAAATTAACAAACCCCTGGCACTCACCGCAAGAGAATATTCAGGAGTCTGCTGCCTCAGCATCTTTACACTACAGCGACGGTGGAAGAAGGCAGGATTATTTCTTACCTACTGCTGTTGTGCTACTCAGTAATGCAATAATAGAGTCGTATTTAAGACTACCCACACAAAGCCTGGCCTTGCCATCTCATTCTCTCTCTAGGCCAAGAGAGTTTGAAAAGGCCGAGGAGTCACCGAGGAAGGCAGCATGCAGCCATTAGCTTACTTTGTGTGGGATCTCAAGGATTAAAAGCCAGCTGTTTATTATCCACCAAGGCCAGGAGATTCCTATTGACTGGGAAGATGGAAGCACAAGATTCACGTGTTCAGAAGATCCCTGGGGCCTTACACAGTTCTGCAACCACAGCGTCTTTCTTTGTGACGGGCTGGATGTACCTCGTCCATACTGGGTTTATTTTTCTCCCCACTAGGATAATTGTGCAATACTTTATGCCACACTATGCGTGTACTATTTTGACAATTAAAATGTGAATGATAATCTGCAGAACAAGTGTGATGCTGTGTGGAAGATACAGAGCTTTAGATAAACAACTGCTCAGGGAGCCAGATTGCGCGAAGCTCTTCTAACAGCTCAATGCATTGCAGCATCGACGCTCGCTTGATATTTATAAATACTCAAGTTTGAAGGAGCAGAAGAAATGAAGTTTGGTAAATAAACTGATTGCACAGACTGAAAAGCAACCATAGAGAGAAAGCACTAAGAGGATTTTAAAATCAAAGCAAGTTTGCGTGGCGAACGGGATCCCCAGTCAAATATCCGAAGGCTCAAATGGCTAAAAGAGCAGCTGAGGGATACAGTTTCTGCAGAGAATAGTTTGAGAAAATCATAAACTCACCTCTCCTTGGAGGTCAATTGAAGGATTGCAATTTGTGAAATCTTCCCAAAGAAGCAACGTTTCCTCATTCTCCTCCCACGTTAAACTATCACAGTCGTCATCAAAATCGAAAGTCTCGCGACTGTTAAGAAAACAGAAAAAGCATTAGTGAAAACCACTCCAGCCTCACTCCCTCAGCCCTTCAATTAATATCCTAGAAAAAAAAAAAAAAAAGGGGCTACAAGAACTGAATGAAGGAGACAATGCAGCAGCTGAAAATCCTCACAGTTTTTACAAACAGCCTTTCCCACTGTCCAAGTCCCTGGCTCCTGGGCTCTTTGCCACCCCAAAGCAGAATAAAAGATCCTTGTTAGCGTTCCTGGTTGAAGCACACAGTCCTAGCTCTGTCCTCCAGATGGTGCTGCACATTAGTTTCCCCTGTTTGCAAAACCACAAAAATGTTTTAAACTATTCTTCTTATACGTGGGAAAATGAGCCCAAACACAGTTCGAGGAATTTTACAAGAAACAGCCCCTAGAAGACTCCCTGATGATTTTCATGCTGAAGTTCAGCCAAGGTTTTCCCTGCAGCTCTGAAAAGCAGTATTGTCAAAAGTAACAACTGTGAAAAAAGCCAAACCCCAAAACGATGTGCAGGTGAGTGTAAATACTTATCGCTGACAAAGATACTGCTACAGCTGCTTAAGACAGAGAACAAACAGTGTCAAGAGTGGCCTTTAACACTGTTATTTGGTCAAGCCCTTTTTAGTACGGGCAGTTGTGCAATAAAGGAAAGTTTCAGAAGGCACTCGAGTCCCTTTTGGTTTGAACAGCAGCAGAGAGAAACACTAGTAGCTGCTTCTTGTCCTTGCTAAGGAGGCCTGACAAAAAATCTGAAATTGCTCCCAGCAGCAGCCTGCTAATTTCAGACTGATGCATTTTTGTTACTTTAGTTCACTTCCTTTCAAGCAGATAAGATCTCAGGGCGGAAGCCGAGTCCAATACTGTCTTTAGAAGGGGAAGAGCTTGGCAAAAGACACAGGCTATTTCTCTAGACTCAGCATGACTTTAAAAAATAATTTAGAAGAAACCCAATAAACTCGGACGTACATGATTGTGCCTTTTGCAATTCTACTTCTTCAAATCAGATTCTCTTTTCAAGATCTATCCTTGTCAGGGAGCTCCCAGACCTGACTGCTGCTTACTTCAGACATAGGCACCGGTCAAAGCCAACTGCATTTTGACTTTTTACTCCTCGACACTTAAAGCTTAAGTTTATTACAGATAAAATACAAGTTGCTTTGTTTCTTTGAATAAGACAAGCTATTCGGCTATTTGCAAGCTATTATTTTCTACTTCACAAAGCTCCCAAACGCAGACATCCTTCGAAATGTACCATTTCCAATAAGCCATGAACACTGTTCCAGATCAACCCATTTTGAATGTTATCAACAAGCTTCCTACAACACTTTGTGCCATAAGTAATAGGACCAGGAGATAAGAATTTCATTATAAATAAAAACTGGGTATCATAGGACAGGTTTAAGAACAAAACTAAAAACTAAATACTAAATGCATTACCGACCTAGTAGTAATTTTAGCCTCTTGTTTTTCTAAAAAATTCACACTCTATCTGCTGTCACACACAAATCTAGCAGTGGAGAAGTCAAAAATCTGTATTTGTTACACTGAATATTAATAAGGACCTAAAGACATCTGAAACAAGAGTCCTAACCAGAGAATTTACCTACAACTTTTGCAAAAAACATAGAATCATAGAACGGTTTGGGTTGGAAGGGACCTTAAAGATCATCGAGTTCCAACCCCCAGCCATGGGAAGAATCACCTCCCACTAGAGCAGGAATGCCCTCCTATATATGAAATTCAGGAGGAAAGAGACACACTCCCTGAAAACAGAACTTTTGGCAACAGCTGACGACAGCAGAGGAGCTAGTGCTCCTTAGAGAATTTCTTGTGTACTCCTACGTGTGAAATACTGCCCTACATTGTGTGGGAAAGCACTGGGAATCCTTCCCTCTGCAGTCACTGCACAAGTTGGCAGAAGACACCCATATTCAAATGCTGGGAAAGTCAGATCCATGGTACTTCCTGGGGGCCCCTGTGTTAAAAGAAAAAGGCAGAGACCCTCCAAAGCCTGTGGCCACCTCCATCATTCCCAGAGCAGGAGGAGAGACCAGTAGGACACATCACCAGTCAGCTGCCTGAACTGCTTTGTGTGGCACCGCGATGCACAGAGCCACTCTTCAGCTTCCACAGGCCTCCTACTGCTGCCCACTTCTATCCAGCCCAAGCAGCACTAGGTTCTTCCCAAAACTCTCCAAATCCAATATTCAGCCAAACATGCAGAACAGACTCAAGGGTTTTGTGCATGTTTCTTCTTTTGCTACTGATGTAAGTTAAAAAAGCAAATAAACACCTAGGTTTCCTAAAATACTTTTAATATTCTCTATGGTTCCCTCTACTTAAGGAAGGAATAAAAACCATTTTCTGTTCATTTGATTTGAACTGCCAGAAAACCCCTGAGCATGTACCATCCTGGAAGCTCAGGTTCAACTCATAGCGGAACAAAATAGTACTTCTGAAAGCACACAGAAATAACTCAATACTTGAATTCTGGGATTAAGTCTGCATTTCAGAATATGTTTTCCATGATACTCACAGCTGATTAAACATACGCTTCATTTCATCTGTGATGTTCAAGGAGCAGCTGACCTCATCGTCAGAGAACCTGCTGTTGTCTCCATCCTGCTCGGAGAGGTCATCGTCAGACGTGAGCTTGCGTTCTTTCTTCTTGGAAGCCACCTTAAGTGGAGAGAAGAGCAGTAACTAGAAGGTTCTACTGAGGTGCTGTGCCATGAGGGGCAGAAATAAAAGGAGAGCCATTAGGTTTGCACGAATATAAGTGTTCATCGGGTCCCAGGCAATTCAGGGATTGCTCGTATTCAAGACAGGAATCGCGTCTGTTGATGAGTGGTGAACACAGAGCACAAGGAAGCAGTTCAGAAGGGCGAGGAGCAAAGCAAGCTGCGGGCTGCCAGCGCTCTACAGATCTTCGTCTGCTCGCTGGCACCGGTCTGTGATCTACCAGAGAACATGCAGAGGTTAGAATGAACCAGGGGCAAAGCAGAAGCTGGCAGGAGTGCCCAGGCAGCAGGCTCGAGAGCGATGACAGAACTCTCCCTCTCCTGCCACCACCACAGGCTGTTGCTCCCAGCGTCGAACCACCATGAAAGAATTAGAAGCCTTTCCAGAGAGCCTTTATTTGGGGGTCGTTCCCACCCCGCCAGCAGAGGCTGCTAGACTTCAGGCTGACAGAAGAAGGGTTAACTGAACCATGAAAACGCCTGGACAACCTCAAAGAAATGAAGTTCATAGATGTGCAGAGAACTCAAGGGATACCCCTGCAAAGGGTGCAGAGGATCACTTTGTCTGAGGACTGTGAACATGAAATATATTCACAGACGGTGCCACAGAGTCACAAACACACAGTCTGCTCCCAGCCTACTGGAGTTTTTCCTCTACTTGGTGTATCTGCCATCCCTTATTGGTTTTGTTCTCCATGTTGATCATTTTAACCACTGCATGCTTGACCAAAAGTGCGCTTTGCGGTTACCTTTGAGCAGAAAGACAAGGCAATTCTACTCAAAGACAAGAAGGAACCATTAGCACAATGCAATGGCTCAACATGCTGGAGAAATAACTGTCTCAATAAGGAGATTTGATTCTTTCGGGGTACGTAAGAAGAAAAAAAAAATAATCAAACATTTAGGCAATTTCACCATAGCCAGAAAGCACAACCAGTGGAGACCTCAAGGATCTTTAGGAGTGGTTTTGTACAGCATTTAGCACACTGTATGGCATCACTACACAGAGAAAAGCATCAGACTTATTGAAAGACTGAACAAGACACATTTAGATCAAAGTAGAAGGAAGCTGGGTTAATCACAATTGAAAAGTGCAGTTATGAGAGAAGACCCACTGCATCGGGAGTTACAGGTTTGCCCCATGCAGAGCTGTAACTGCTTTTGGAGCAAATTAAATGACTTTCCTACCAGCACCAAGGAGCCACAATAGCTCAAGGAAAGTAACTTGAGTTTCTAGTCTCACCAAGCAGTCAGAGCTCCCCACCACAGAAGCGTTATTTCTGGCCACGCAGCTTGAGCCAGAAATAAGAATGTTGAGATGACAGTTCTACAAGCTTAAAACTTCTCACTTGTGAAGGGAACAAATGTGAGGAAGCCATTTATACAAACCTAGACCCTGTCATGCTTTTTCCCCCCACTGCATTCATTGTAGACTAGCATCAGACTAACAGCATGTCTTAAAGGTCAGCCGGAGACTTCTTTTTTTAAACTCTCTAAATTTTGTGCTCTGAGTACTATAGCAGCTTCTGCAGAAGAGAGCTACACCTCAAGACCGAGAAAGAAGGAAATATGTCTACACAGAGAAATTTCAAGAAAAGGCAAATGACCTGGACCACACACTCCTCAACACTGCTCCTCCCTCTTGTCCCCTCTCTTCTTGTCCTACCCTATGGAAAATTCATGGCCTAATCACCTGGAATATCTTGGAAACGTCTTCAGAGTTGCGCTGCTGCGCTACATCGCACAGCTTGGCTGTGATATCGATTCGCCGACAGATGTCCATGTCCACCTTCATGGCCTTTTCTTGAATCTTTGTGTCCAGGTCTGTCATGGGCTGCAGGAAGGACAGTAGTGATTATCTTCTATTATTATACAGTTCAGGAAAGAAGAGATACCCCACAGTATCTCTCTAACCCCAGGGCATACCATTCGTTAACAATATTACATCTTGTTCTCCGGGAAAGGCAGTACACACACAATCTAAATAGACTAGACAGCTAACAATTAACGTTCATATCCAACGGTAATAAAATTTCAACTCAGAGGGATTTGCTACCACAAAACCTATACCCACCCCAAACCAACTGCTAGATGTAACAGTAAACTTTTAAGGGTCAATAAAGCTTTAAAAATGGAGGAGAAAAACCCTGTTGAGCATGTGCAGAATAGAATGAAATTTAAAACCTGGTGAGCAGGCAACACTTCCCCCCCTTTTCAGACAGAAAAGCTGTGCCTGCAAGAAGTTGCTTTTAAAGCAGAATCCAGGCTACACGGCAGCCTCATACATACCAGGAAAACATAAAATCGAGACCGGATCTAAAAAGATCCGCGAAAGCTGGTAACACAGAAAATACTCCTCATTGGCATTAACCTGGCTTCCAGCCTAGTGAAAATCCTACATGAAAAATATTTTGTCTTGCTTCACTCTGGGCAGTAATCATAAACATCATTTGTAAGAGATACTCCCACTCAGACAGTACAGCTGGCTCCTTATGAAGAAACATTGTTCCACAAAAAGCATATTTTCCAGCCTAGACGAGACTTACTCCGTTAGAAAGTACCACCTCCATGGCTCGGCAATGCTTCCACTTTGACCAGAAAAGCAGAAAATCTCTTTGCAGAGCTTTCTTAAATACCAAATCCTCTTTCCAAGGAGAAAGCTTTGGAGTTGGGTGGTTTTTTTTAGGGGGAATTGTTTTTTTAAAATTATTAGATGGAACTCTTCTCCAGCCCCTCTCAACCACTTTTGGATAAGTTAGAGATTTTTGTTTTGCAAACACACCAAGAAAAAGAAATTTCTAAACACTGACACACTCTAAACACAATCTTACCAACTGAATAGATACCAACGATTCTTATCCACCAGAAAGCAAGAGTCACCTGCCAACATTTTGCATTTCTTTGCTCTAAATATTTACAGGGTGGGATTCAAAACCTTCTCACGGCTTTCCTTAGGCTCTCTTCTCCCTTTGGGTTTGGCAAACCCCAAACACTTGCTTTCGAATGGAGGAGGGTGTTTGCATTCACCACCACCCTCTTTGTACACTCTCGGCAACATTTCTTCCCCAGCCAAAGTCAGCAGAGTGATGGAGCCCTAACGAGTTCCTCCCTTTCACGCTGCCTCTAACCAAGCATGCCTCTTCTCAATTAAACACCAAAAGAAGAGAGAGCTAATTGCCAAATTTCACATGAACGGATCTAGTGGCCCCGAGAGAATGTATTTGACACCAGGGAGCAGGTTCTGCAAGCTTATATAAAGAGAGAAGGAAGCAGTTCTACACAAAATTACCAAATAAATAAGCATAATAGGACATATTCATTAGACAACTGGCATCAGCACTACTGCAGTCATACAGAGAAAGGTACCTGGCTCAGTGTTCACCTGGCTTATCTCTCTAGATACCTGCAGGAATACACGCTCTCAGTATGTCTACATGTAAGAAAATTCTCCAGTCCTAATCAAAAAGATCCCCCAGCTTTGAAGGAAAGTCAGTGTCTAATGAGACACGAGGAAATCCCTGAGAAAACAAGTCTTCTTGTAAAAAAAAAATAAATATTAGGTTGAAGCAGCCCTGGAAACAAAGCCAGGCACCTGAACCAGTGATACTGGGTTAATCTCTTCAGAGCTTTCAGAGAGGGAGTTGGGAGACACATACAGCTTTTTGAACACGACTTTTTGGCATTATTTAGGGCAAAATCCCCCTCGTTAGCAGCACACGGTGCTGATCCCTTTCCTCTAACCTGTGAGTTCTCCAACCCCCTGTTTTTTTTCCACGGCTGCCGAGGTGAACCCCAGCACTGCCAGCTGTGGAGAAGGGGAAGGGAGGGAAGAGTCCGGGTTATGGGCTAAGCAGCAAGTTAATGCATCTCTACACAGACCAGACAGGAAGCAGGGGGAAGGGTGATCTGTCTGATGCATTAGATCATAAAGGCAGCCATAATGCTAACTACAAAGCAGCACTCACTAAGACCATAACCTTTTTATGAATGAAGCCATTTGCATGACACACACATCTCACAGAGGCAGTGGGAGTTGGCCGCTCCGCTCTCCTGTACTTACATCACTCATCAGACCCTTAAAGACCACGAGTTCCGCTTTCAGCCTCTCAATCTTTTCATTTAACTCCTCCTGCAGAGCTTCCGCTTCCTGCGCCTCCTGCGAGAGAGAGAAAGCAGACAAGGAATTAAGAGGTAAGAGGGCGACATGTGTTTTCTCACTTAACCTGAGCAGGGCTGATAAGGCACCTCCTGCGCCTCCTGCGAGAGAGAGAAAGCAGACAAGGAATTAAGAGGTAAGAGGGCGACATGTGTTTTCTCACTTAACCTGAGCAGGGCTGATAAGGCACCTCATCACCCCGAATTTCACTTGGGCAGAACCTTCAGCCCCTTTCTGCTTCACCTTCCAAACATTAACACTATTCTCCAGCCAACAGCAGCCCAGTCAGCTGCTCTAGCTAGAAGAAAGGTTTTTTAATTAAACAAATTCAATTAATTCCTAGCATAATGAAAGGTGCAGAGAAGGGAAAACCTATAACTTTCAATACAACCTACTCAAAACTTACCTCTCTCAAGGTTTCTACCATAGATTCCAAGCTCATTCTTCTCGTCAGTTCCTCTTCCCATCTGAAAGACAAGATTTGCAGGCAAAGGGTTAACTATGGAGAAAAGTAATTTATTTTTTTCCTCCAAAATCACAAGTCTTTTGATAGCTGTAGGATGATGACAGTTATTTGAAATGTAAAGCAGATGGTCCCCCCTCACTTGCACTCCCTCAAACCAGTAACATTAACTCTATAAGAGAAGAAAAGCTAAATCCACTTCCACTGGGATCAGTACTCTTCCGCTCTCCTCCACAATATTTGGTTGCAAATAAGGTGGGAAATCTTCCATGCAAAAAAAAAACCCAATCAACTGAAGGTAAGTTATCTAATAAGCAGTATCACTATTTATCTGTTTGGTCCAATTAATTCATACATTGATGTCCCTTCTGCACCAAAAGCCTCAAGGATCTACGTGCCTCAGTCATCTCCCAGCACTGCAGTTGCAAGCAGAGCGCTCAGACAAACACCCTTCAGTGCAGGGTACACACTGCTGCAGTACAGAAAGGGTAGAAGAAAAGGAATCACAGTTACAAACCGTATAAATAAACCTCATTCTACAAGCATCATTATGTTTGAGTTCATTAGTGGATTAAGTGTAAAAATAGCCTTTTTCTTCTTCTTTTTAAGCACCAAAAGCCTTTAAAGATGAAACCCCAGTATTTGACAATACTAACTTGAAAGCTAGCATTCTTGAAAGCGTGATGATACACACTCATCCACAGGGATATGGTTGGAGTTTTGGGGGGAGGGAGAAAGCAAAATGTGTGTCACTCTCTGAATGGGCAGTAGCACCACACAAGACTCGCCCAGCCTATTATAACACCAGGAATTACATGCCTGGAAAAGAAACTCTGGATACCACAGAATTAAAAACAATCCTGGGAACCTAATCCCTGAGTACCACCATCATGATCGTGTCCGTTGCCAATTCAACGTTTATAGTTTAGCTGAAAGAGGCAAACCCTGGCCCCAGAAATCTATTAAATCGAGGCGTTCTTGACAATGCACGGTGAAATCTATAAATGCATCGTTTCATCCTGTTTTCAAACCCGGTGATGGCTGGATTGCAGGATATTCTGGCAGAGGCAGCTGATGTGATGCATACAGAATCCCTACGCTGCTCCATGCACCTCTGCATCCCAAGTCAAATGGAATCCTGCCTGGAATGGGAGCTGGGGCAGCCCCTTTTGGGCAGGAGGCAGGGTGTGCTGCTGCAGTGTGCTGTGTGCAGGAGCCAGGAGAGGCACCTGAAGGGGTTACACCTCAGTGCAGCCGCAGCAGCTCCCACCAGCGAGGTGCCGAGAGGACACGGTGGCTCCATCCCCTCTTTCCTGCAATTGTGGTGCAGGAATATCCAACATCACGGCCCACGGATTCTCCGTTGTACAGCTGAAGTTTGATTTATGCAGGAAGACTTGCTGTGCATCTTTTTACCGGCGATGATTTACTGCCAAGCGGAGTAAAATATTTAGGCTGAAATTTGCATTTGTCATTAAATGTTTTAGCTTGGTATTTCCATACCCGATGTGGTTTTTGACTACTAATTACATGTGCATTTCTATAAAAATAGTAACTTTGTTTTTCAGATTTTAATATTAAAGTCAAGAAGGTGAAATTAATTAAAAGCAGCCAATTCTATTTGCAGTCTGTGAGATGGTCTCCTTCTGCTACAGAGGGAGAGTTGCACGGCTTTAATCATCGCTCCCGGTCTCTCTGCCAGCGGGCTCTCGTTTATGGATGGGAGTCGAGCAGACAGTGCAAAAATTGATATGCTGCTTCTCCAGGTTTTAACCATTGAAACGAGGGACGCGTTCAGGTTATCCTGCTGGATTCTTTGCATCCCCACAGGGCTCTGTGCATTCTGCAACAAGAGAGATGTATTTTTGGAAAACGCATAAGCGTATTTTTACTGTCCACGCCAAAAGCTAGCAAAAATTATTAGCGTTCTTCCCCAGCAGTTCAGCCCTTCTGGGCAGCTGCCAGAATTACACATCTCGCTCTGCTCAGACTAACCTTCCTCATCCTGCAGAAATTCCAGTAGTTCCATTTCTGCTCTTTGTGCCAGTTAAAGTGCATTTTGCCAAACAGTGATTTACAGCCCTAATTCTCTTCCGTCAAACTCGAGATGGTGTTTTCAAGAGAAGAGGAAAAGGATGCTTTCCTTCACACACATGCACATCCTCCCCAAAATTTCTGTGTTTCTCTTAATTATAAACAATAAAACAATCAGGTAATTTTTAATAAAAAGATCATAGCTAACAGAAGGAAGTTTACACTGGGCTGACAATAAGGGTCCTGCTAACCATTAATATCACATTCTTAACCCCAGAGCGCATTTCTCCCACCCACTACCAAGCTGATTAACCTCATTTAACAGCTCAAAATGCCAATCTTACTTTCTCCCCACACTTAAACCTCAGGAGACTATTTGTAGGGAAGAGAGGAAGGAGACGGATGGGAAGGTAGAGGATGACAATGAAGCAGAGGATTAATTCTCCATTTAAACTTCCAGGGAAATGAGACAATAGAAAGATTGCTCATTCATATGATCATCCTGTATTTGCTGGAACACACAAGACTTTAAAAGGGACCTTGGCAGCTGCTGCTGCATTTGTTGGAGCGTGTAGTAGCACAAGGAGCACATGCCGCTGGGAAGATGCTAACTATGGCTCTGGTGTCTTTAATATTCAACACAATCTAAATTATTCTCCCAGTAATCAATAGCTTGCTCTCCAGTTACCGTCAGAAAGCAGAAGTCAGTAATTCCCCCAGTCTCGACCCCAGCAGGCTGAGGACAACCTCTGCTTCCCAGCAAACCCAACCAGTGGAAGGGACCAAAGCCTGGGCTCCTCCATCTCCTCCACCACCCGATTAACGACCCGGCAGCATGAGCAGAGCAGAGAGGTAACTCCTGCCCTGGATAACCATGGGAGAAGAGGCAGCAGGAATGCCCAGGACTGTAATACCCAAAAGGGAAATGGCTGGACAGGCTACAGGCTGAAAAACCAGCAGCCTTCACATATTTGCTGCAGGATATTAACTAGCCAGCTGCTCCCGCTGCTCCCAAATACACTTAATTCTTGGCTCAGATACATCAATTGCTATGATTTCCAGCTGTATCCGAAAAAAAAAAATATCTTTTTTCTAAAAAAAAAAAAAATCTTTTTTCTGACCCAGAAAGGCAACTAAATCGACCAGACTTCAGGGCTTCTCATTATATATATACTTCTTTTTGAAAAATAAATCAGCAATATGAATTTCAAATTTAACCAAGCTTTTTTCCTTCTTTCCCACCTTCCAAGGATGTTTTAGTTCCAACCACCACCTACCTACCCACCCCGCCAAATAAAGGGCTAGTCTGAATTTTGGAAGCTATGGATCTCTTCCCCTTTACCAGATGTGACACAGTACATTCCAGCAGCATTCAGTCATCGCAGCTTCGGGCCCCAAACTACTTCTGCACTCATGTCTCACATAGCTTAGAGGAGAACAAAGGATGCTGGCTTTCTTTAACGGGAATAGCTACATTACAAGGATATTAGACAAACAAAACACATGAAGAGTCAGCTAGGATTAACGTTGCTCAAAGCCGTGTTCTTGTAAAGCTGAGTCACACCACAAACTTGTGTTTCCTTTGAAATTGGAAGAGTAGCCACCAGTTCACCGATAGGAACATCTTCTCCCACACCAAAGAAAGCCCAGGGAGACATCTCAAGAACTGGGTAACCTCCTTTAAAAGCCCCTCTAAGTTTTCAAGCCTTAATGTTCATGAAATTAAACTGAGCAGTCGATGTTGACACAACGAGCTTTGAACCTACTTTCCTGCTCCCTGAATATCTGCGTCAAGGAACACAAACATCTTCCTTTCTTCTCTCCCAGCATCATCCAGCCAAGCTTAGGAACACAGACCAGTGGAGAGAATTGCCCCTTGGAGCAGAGTCACAAAGCCTCTTTAGAACAGAAAGCTAGTTTTAGAGAAGTCTGCCTTGCTAAAAGGATTTTTAAATGAGAGTACAGTATTATTTAGAAAAAAACCCAATGTGCTTACAAAATATGCCTGAGAGAAACCTGCTGGTTTAAATACGTTATTGCTCAAGGCAGAAAGGCACAAGTAGACTGGTTGATAGTTAATTATGCTTGATGCTATCAACTGCACTATTGCTTGCACTAAAAATATCCCTCCCTCAAAGAAGGAAATATTCCTCCGGTGGCATTTAATGACAATACATTTTTTCCATAAGAAAAACTCTTCAGGAACACAAGACCCTTCTTCCTGGGAGTTTTATACCACGTCGTGTGGAGAAGAAAACCACCAAAGTGGAACAGAACAACAGCAAACGTTTACAGTGGTCTGTGTTTTTCCCCTGGCATTCTCTCAGGACTGACTCTGAAGCTTTTCACCCCGTTTCGTTTTTGTGGGAGTGTCTTCCCGTCAGCGTACGGGGAGAAGAGCAGTAACAGAAAGGAAAACCTAATAGCTCTTGAGTGCTTGAGTCCACAACAGGAAACACAAGTGTTAGTTTGAGCAATGGCTATAAAATGCTCACAAAAATATTACCAGCTAATGATTCCTGAAAACACAAACCTACTGAAGGGATGAACTGTCAGTGCTACTTCAGGGAACAGCTTAATTGCTTTTTCTTGCACGCTAAGACACCGCTACCCCATTTCTGGGATGAAATGCCCCAGATTGCTGATCTGCTGGATGAGAAGCCTCTAAGATGGTATATTCTCTGATGCCCCACGCCTGCAGATGGAAGAAAACACCCATGCCATGGCAGGAGCAGGTAATTACACCCCCAGTCAGAGACAGCTCTTTGTGCTCCCATTCCTTGGCGGCACCACTGCTTGTTCTTTTGCACGTTGGGATCTTTTTGACGCCCATACGTTGTTTACAGGAACTCCAGAAAGGCAAGGCGTGCTGCACCGCTCACCGGCGCTGGCACCACATTTAACACTTCCCATGCACAAGCCCAAGCCATTTAATCATTTCGCATTACTCACGGTCATTACACGCCGCCT